TTTGTTAATTTTTATTATAAATAGTTATTAATTATTATTAATTAAGTATTTAACTTTAATAAAATCCATTACAAATTGTTTTTAGTAGGTTAATAGATTTTTTATAGCTTAGTACAGAAAAAGAAAACCTTAATCGGTCAATAATTGGTGCATTTACCCTATAAGCATAAATTACTGATTTAAATATTAAGTGTAAAAATGTTTTTTCCATTCAATAGAGTCTTCGCTTGAGCAAGACAGCTCTTGACACTACTGCAGGTGGCCAAATTATTAATCTTCTTAGTAATGATGTCAATCGCTTCGATCTTTTGCCGATGTACTTTAATTATTTGTGGATTATGCCGATACAGGTTTGATTTTTGAATTCAATTATAATATATCGTTTTGAGAAAAAGTAAATTTTTATAAATATTTTTTGACTTATTTTAAGATCATCGTTGTTGGTTACATTATGTGGCAGAGTATTGGGATTTATACACTTATTGGTTTCGGCTCACTTTTGTTGCTAACAATTCCAATACAAGCATATGCGTCGATACTCAGTGGGAAACTCAGAGCATCTATTGCAGGATTAACTGATCGAAGAGTTCAGCTCATGAGTGAATTAGTTGCTGGGATTCAAGTAATGTTGCTTAATTAAAAACAATCATATTGCCCTTGGCAAAAGAAAACTTCTGGGTTACCCGCTTTCTATTGATTTTTTTTCCCAATTTTAGCTAAATGATTTATCAGGCTGGGCTAAAAAAACAGCTAATTTATTTTTTAATAATATTTTGAAAGTATTAAATTTTAAACAAATCTTTCCTAATCATCAATTCGTCTATTAATTAAAGAATTTCAAAGTTAGAAAAATTATATTGTAAATACAGACAAATCACGTTGCTAATTCTAAAAGAGCGTATTTCAAATTATGCCCGCTTTCTGCTCTGTAGAATTAAAAGGGCGTTTAAAAATTTTCTTTTCTCCAATTAACTATGGAATGTAAAAAAGTAAATATCTGGTTAAAAAACGCAAAAAATTTTTTTTTGACGTACGTCCTTTTGGCTTTAAGAAAAAAAATTTTGAAGTCAAAAGGGCCTATATAAATAAATGGTAAAAATTTCTTTTAAGAACTTCAAAACTTCGAGATCTAATAAAAAATTGATTTTTGAAAATTAAACTGAAAACATCATAGCCTAATTTTTTGAAGTTTACAATTTTTTTAACAAGAAGTTACAAATTTTATTTTGTATTAATTTTTTTTAGTGAATTATTTCTACAAAACAAAAAGATCAAAACTTCCAAAAATTGGAATGTATTAGTGTTTTCAATATCACTTCCAAAAATCAATTTTTTATGAGATCTCTACGTTTTGAGATCCTTAAAAGCTATTTTAGGCGTATGTCAGACAAAATTTTCTTTTGCGTTATTTAACCAGATTTTTACTTTTTTACATTTGCACACAGAAAAAAAAATGTTCTTGAATCAACTACATAATTTTGAAGAACTTAATATTCTTGATTTGAGTAGAAAAATTCTTGATTTAAGGAAATTTTTCTTGATTTAAGGAAGTTTTACTTGATTCAAGAATTTTTCGTCTTGATTCGAGACAATTACCCTCTTCAAAATTGTATTCTTGGTTGAAGAATTTTTCTCTTGAATCAAGTTAATTTTTTTTTCAGTGCAAGATTAGAGAGAAAAAAAATTTTTTACACGTTCATGTGGCATTATTAATGCATTCAATTTCCTTTGAAAATATATATCGTTTGAGTTTTTCCTTTCTTTTGGAAGTTTCGAGAAAAAAATACATTTAAAAACACAGTAAAAAATTGCAATGATAGCTTAATATTAATATTAACAAGTTAACCCTTTGCAATATGTTTTTTTGACCATTTCGAATGATATATTCATTTATTTCTTGTATGCTATTATATTTTACAGGTAATAAAGATGTATGCATGGGAGAAACCATTCAACAAAATAGTTTCTCAAACAAGATTAGCTGAAATAAAAAAAATACATAGCTCATCGAATGTTCGTGGATTGTATACATCTTTAATGGTCTTCACTGAACGGACAACGCTTTATGTAACACTTATTGCTTTTGTGTTGATGGGAAACCCCATGAAAGCTGATATCACATTCCAATTGTCAAGTTACTTCAATATACTGCAAATGGTAGTTGCTATATGCTTCCCACAAGCACTGATATTGTTCAGTGAAGCTATTATTTCCATCAAAAGGATAGAAGTATGATTGTTTTTTTGAATTGCGATTACAAATTAGCAATAAACATATTACAATTTCGATGTATATATTTTGGTCTGTTGCAGGAATTTTTATTACTCGATGAAATTTCTAAATCTCAGGATTCAAACAAACTTATCAAACCAGCAAGTCTGACAGATTCCACAAAATCATCTGCCAAAATAGGTAGCGCAGTTAGAATTGAACTGGATAAAGTATCAGCCAATTGGATAGTTGGACAATTACCTCCGACATTGTGCGATGTGACATTAAACGTCAAACCAGGAGAATTGTGCACTTTAGTCGGCCCAGTTGGATCTGGAAAATCTTCTCTATTAAATTTATTACTGCAAGAGTTACCAGTTAGCGCTGGAACGGTTGGACTCTTTCAGTTTGAAAATAAAAAATCAATTGTGTTTAAATCTAAACACAGGTTCATCCAAGACAATCCTGAGATGACAATATCATACGCAAGTCAAGATCCGTGGCTTTTTTCAGGAACTATCAGAGAAAACATACTTTTTGGACTTGAGTATGATCATACGCGATATCTTGAGGTTAAATTATTATCTATTAGATATTTTTGTTACATTCGTTTCAATTGCCTGGTGGGTAATGTAATAGTAAAATATAAAATTTTTAGGTAACAAGAGTGTGCTCGCTTATGAAGGATTTTCAGCAGTTTCCAAATGGAGATTTAACTTCTGTTGGAGAGCGCGGAGCATCACTTTCCGGAGGCCAGAAAGCTAGAGTAAATCTTGCAAGAGCTATTTATAAACAAGCTGATTTGTATCTTTTGGATGATCCTCTCAGTGCAGTTGATGCTCGTGTTGCTCGACTTCTTTTCAACGAATGTATTTCTAAGTATCTTCATGGAAAAACTAGGATTCTCGTTACTCATCAGCTGAATTATTTGAAACAAGCGGATACTATTGCTATGATTGATCGAGTAAGAGTATTAAAAGTTTTACTTATTTCCATGTGACTACTACTATCAGCTTCGTTACAATTAATTATCATCACCATTATATGTAATAGGATGTGCCAAAATTCAATTTTCGTGTTTGGGCACTTCTAGCCAAATGCGGAAATTTCAGCGGAAATGCCCAAACATAGATCTTGTTAAAAATTCTATGAAAATCAAATGAATCGTCTCAACCCAAAATATCTCAGGGCTGACACACGTTAATATCCCCGGACAAAATATTCCCGCGTTTTTGTTGGTTTAATTTTGAATAAACACACAAACACACTAAAAAAGAATGTTGAGATTAATTTTCAAATTATTATTGATGAATTTTTATATTTTTAAGAATTTTATCCGGGGATATTTTGTCGGTTATACTACACCTTGACCACAGACACTATATCCGCGACATTAAATCCGCGACATTATATCCGCAAACCATTAAATCCGCGACATTAAATCCACGACGTAATATCATCATCCCCTGGAACACATTATCATCATCATCATCGTCATCAATTTTTCAATTGAGGGACTTCGCCCCCCAACCCCCACTGGGGCTCTGACCCTGGACCCAATCATCATCATCGTCATCATCACCATCATCATCATCATCATCACTATCATCATCATCACCATCACCATCACCATCATCATCATCATCATCATCATCATCATCACCATCATCATCATCATCACCATCATCATCATCGTCATCATCATCATCATCGTCATCATCATCATCCTCATCATCAACATCATCATCATCATCATCATCATCATCCTCATTATCATCATCATCAAATTCTGTCTCTGGCGTATTTATATGATAAAATCATTTTTTTAAAGTTTAATTTAGTATCATTGAAAAGGTCTTGACTTGAATTTGTGCCTTTTCAATGTTTGATCTACTTTTAGATGTAGTTCTAAATAGATTTGATTTTTACGATAAACAAAATTTTTTTAGTTATTTAATTCGTTTTGTACTTGTGAATGTAGCTGTAGATCAAAAATTAATTTATATAACTAAAAGACTAAAAAAAAGTTTTTAATGGGTATATATTTATCGTAAATTAGTTTTGATATTTTTTTCAGCAAAATTTCATGATGAGCATATTATTATTTTTAAAGGAATTTTTCTAGTTTAATTTAGTATCATCAGAAAGGTCTCGATAATAAGAATTAGTGCCTTTTGGTTTTATATATTTTTTAGTAGTCAATTTTTTATGTCAAGTTTTTGAAGGAGTTTTTAATAGTTTTTTGTTTCTATAAATTTGTTCTGGCACACTTGTACATTAATTATTTATAATTGATCCTATGATAGCGCTATTATTTTTAAAACTTATTTCAAAAGTAGTCACATAGTGACTGCAGGTAATTAGTCTTCATTATCTTAATTATTAATATTATCGTTTTTATTAGGGATGTATTAAACATCAAGGTACATTTGAAAGCTTAACGAAAACCAACCCAGAATTCAACAATTTGTTAAATAACATGAAATCAAATGATACTGAATCACTAGGAGATGCAAATGAAAACCATAGTCCTAAAAAACTTTCTGAAGAAGTAAACTTTTCTGCTAGATTTGACAAGTCAAGAACTTCCCGCATTTCGATTAGATCTCAAGACAGTTACCAATTCGTAAGTAGTAGAATCGAATTATTCAAAATATCAAAACTATTCGGATAAGTTATTAATTATTAAAGAATCACTCTGTATTATCATATTAGTTACCCTATCAAGAGTTTACCACAGCAGAATGTAATACACAAGTCGACTCAGAAACGATGGAGTCAGGGCGAATGTCAAACAAAGTTTACTATCGATATTTCCGTGAAGGAGGAAATATCATTGTTCTTATAATAATGATAATTATCTACATTTTATCTCAAATAGCGACAAGTGGTGCAGATTATTGGCTCAGCTACTGGATAAACATAGAAACCATCAGAAATAAGTGTGAAAATTCTGCGAAAAACAACTGTTCAGTTTCTGAATTTGAATATAAATCAATGGTTAATAATACCTTTTTCCAATCACTTTCACTTCTTGACAGCGATGGATTTTTATCTACTATATATGCAGTTCACATTTATACAGCATGTATTGTCGGGTGTATCGTTTTAGTTACCTTAAGAAGTTTCTTCTTTATGCACGTTTGCATGAATGCTGGAAGAAAACTACATAATCACATGTTTTCAAATGTCCTGCAAGCAACGATGAACTTCTTTCATATGAATCCTTCTGGTAATTTCAAATTGCTTGAAGCATATTTCATAAATGATGATGCAAAACATTATTGTGTTCACTATCAGTAATTTTTTATCTTTTCTTCACAATTATTTTGATTGTTACACTCTTATTTCAGGGCGAATTTTGAACAGATTCTCAAAAGATGTTGGCGCAATGGATGAATTGCTTCCCCGAGCTATGCTCGAAGCTATTCAAATTTTTCTTGTAATGGCAGGAATATTGGTTATCATAACGAGCGTTAATCCCTGGATGGGCATACCTATTGTAATTATGGGAACAATATTCTATCTAATACGGATTTATTATCTAAACACAGCTCAGGACATTAAGCGATTGGAGGGTATTGGTATGTATTGATCAATAGATCTAATCACCAAATACTTATCGTCATTACACGCTTTTTATTAGCTTCACTTGTATGTCAGTATGTCAGTATGTCATTCAGTATGTAACTCTCCGTGGGTAATTTGCGCGCCTGCGGCCTTCCTTGGTTCTGGTAGCCGTTTCTCAGGCTCCCTCTCCGAAATCGAACTCTGATTCCCCGTATAATATTTATAAATAATTATTTTATTCTCACTAATCAATAAATTACTTACTGAAAATTTAATTTAATAAAAATAATAATTTAATAATTTAATAAAAATAATAATTTAATTAAATAATCATTTAATAATTCAATAAAAATAATAATTATAATAGTTTAAAAAAACTAAAATATCACGCTTTATAGAAAACCAAACTAAAAAATAGAAAATAAATTTAAATTAAGAATAATTTTCTATTTTTTAGTTTGGTTTTCTATAAAAAGCGTGTTTTTAGTTTTTTTAAACTATTATTTATTTTTTTTCATCACAATATACTCAGAAAAAATGACTTTTGAGAAAACAAAGTATTCTTGTTACGATAATTCAAATTGTTGGAAATTTTTAACACTTTTTTTCTTCAGCTGAAGAAATCACATTTTTCTTGGAATATTTTTTTTTATAAAACTAAGTTTTTTTTTAATACAGAAAGAAACAATTTTAAAGAAAACAGACAAGCATTTCATTCAAGTTTCTGATAACAACAAATTATTTTTATCTTAATATATTTAATTAATACTACTAATATGATGAATTAAATATACTACAAAAAAAATAATTTGTTGTTATCAGAAACTTGAAGTCTTGAATGAAATATTTGTCTATTTTCTTTAAAATTGTTTTTTTGTATGAAAAGAAACTTAATTTTCCGAAACAAATACAAGAAAAACGTGATTTCTTAAGCTCACCTTCGCGGTTTTGAGAATCCCGTAAAAATACCGTAATTTACCGCTATAATTCGGTAATAATGCGGTTCAACTATAATTGTTTTCGCCAGTTTTTATACTGTAATTATCCAGTATATATACTGCACTTATGATGTACAGTAACCAAAAATATACTATACGATTACAGCATTAATGCCCAAATATTACCCAAAAAATTCTAAATAATTACCGTAATAATACAGTAATTTTTAAGTAATAAAACCATATTCTTTTGTTAAAAATACCATAATTATTCCATAATTTTGCCGAATATTTTCTGATATAATGGACAATTATTACAGATTTGGTTTTATTTTTAGTTCACTACTATGTTAGAAATGAATAAAATGAGAAATTTCCAATTTTTCTTTTTATTCTCCATTGTTACTTTGCAAAAACAAATGCTGTTTTTGAATAAATACTATGTAGAATATTATTTTTTAATTAGGTATTTAGCAGTAATGAATACATATTTTTAGCGTAAATATTTTGCATTTTGAGTGTAAATTATTCGCATTTTTACGGTAAATGTTCCGTAATGTTTCGATGAAAAAACTGACCAAAACAACTGAAAATATGCTGAAAAAATACAGCATTAATACTGTATAACTGCAACATTTTTTCGGCACTTACAAAACCGCTAGGGCATAAAGGAAAATGTTGAAAATTTCCAACAATTTAAATTCTTTTAACAAGAATGCTTTTTCTTCTCAAAAGTAACTTTTTCTATCAGTGTAGAACAAAAAGTTCAATCGGTAACAATAAAAATTCAATATTCCAGCAAAAAGTCCAGTTTTTTCTCATGTCAGCACTACATTAGATGGTTTGATGACCATCCGAAGCCGTGGAAAAGATGTAGAAAGAATGTTATGCAACGAATTTGATCATTATCAAGACATCCATACGGGTGCATGGTATCTAACAATCGCTACAGGATCAGCATTTGGACTTATTCTTGACTTAATTTCTTGTGTTTTTGTCACATGTGTCTGTTATTCATTAATTCTTATGGATCCTGGTAATTATCTTTAATAAATTTGATGGATCAGCTTTGCACAAGGTTGCTAACGACAATTGTTGTTTGCTTTTAGAAAACACATTTGGTGGATCTGTTGGGTTGGCTATATCACAGTCACTAATTTTGACGGGTATGCTTCAGTATGGTGTAAAGCAAACAGCTGAAGTACAGTCGCAAATGACATCGGTTGAAAGAATTATCCAGTACACCGATTTGCCGAAAGAAGGCCCAATGGAATCAACAAATCCCCCACCAAGCGACTGGCCATCAAAGGGTGACGTCAAATGGCAAAATGTGTCTATGAGTTATAAAGCTGAAGATCCACCTGTATTGAAGGTATAGAATACTTTGACTGATTAAGTCAGACTTGATAATATATTCATCAACTGTATGTTTTTCCAGAACATTGAGCTCGATATAGAGTCAGGCTGGAAAGTTGGAGTGGTTGGAAGAACTGGTGCTGGAAAATCTTCCTTAATATCAGCCCTTTTCCGTTTAGCAGATGATGGTCTGCAAGGGAAGATAATTATTGACGATTTGGACACAAAAACTATTGGTCTTCAAGATTTGCGAGCTCATATATCGATAATCCCGCAAGAGCCTATCCTTTTCTCAGAAACTTTGAGATATAACCTTGATCCATTTGGCAAGTATTCTGATAATGATATATGGGAAGCTCTAAGAGAAGTTGAACTGAACGATTTGACTCTTGATCAATGGGTCACTGAGAGTGGGTCAAACTTCAGTGTTGGTCAGCGTCAATTAATATGTCTTGCGCGAGCATTGCTACGAAACAATAAGATTCTTGTCCTGGATGAAGCTACTGCTAATATTGATTCTCAGTAAGTATTGCGTAATAATATACGAAGGTTTTATTCAGTACATAATTTTTATTACTGACGGTGATTATAGGACTGATGCGATGATTCAGCGAGCAATTAGAACGAAGTTTGCCAATTGTACCGTAATAACAATAGCGCATCGTTTAAATACAATCATCGACAGTGACAGGGTTTTGGTGATGGACAATGGAAATGCTGCGGTATTTATTGAAAATAAATTTGTATTTTTGTCTAGAAATTAAATTGAGTTAAAGACTTATTTTGATTGGTTTTATTTTCTAGGAATTTGGAAGTCCGTATGAATTACTCATTGAGAATTCCAACAGTATGTTTGCTGAAATGGTTGATCAAACTGGAAGTATAATGGCAGAGAAACTTCGTGAAGAAGCTATTAAATATCATAATGAAAGGGAGAGTTTTGGAACATTTGATGATGACGAAAATCAGCAAATGTGCGACATAGATTCAAGTGCAATTATAGATAGTATTAAACTGTAATTTTATAAATATATCTAAGATTTGGGTGTTCGATTTATCTAAATATTATAAATAAATTTAATATTTTTGAATTAACAAGAGTTAACAGATCATTAAATGAAATGTTTTTTTTTATCTTAGCTTACCTTGGAAGAAGCTCTATAGGCGGCTATGTTGAAATCTAAAAAAGGTGTTTAAAATTCTCTGCTTCAAAAGGGAGATTGTAATGATTCTAAAAAAATTTTTTTTCTGTCAATTTTTGACTTTAAGGATGGTTCCGGTGGTTTTAGAGCCGGTAATAAATTTATGCCAGCAACTTAACTCGTAAAAATAGTTTTAAAAATATACTTGGTCAGAATAAGTATTTCAATTTTATAAATAAAGAAGATTTTAATGAAGGCGCGCAGTAGCCTATCGGATCCGGCCCTTGCTACCAAAGCATTGGACCGGGTTCGAGTCCGGCGTACACCAATGAATATTTTCAATATTTAAGTGTATTATTCTGCTCAGCCCAAGAAATACAAACGAGTTCCAATCTCAAAAGTTTACCCCCCTACCGTAGTTGCTCATGACCTTAGTAGTTTATGCGACTTTAAACAAATTAAAAAAAAAAAAAAGATTTTAATGAAGAAAGGGTATAAATAACGTATTTAATAATGTAGAAAAAAGATTGAGGTAGAAATTTGTATATTTATTTAAACATTATTACATAAATTTAGTACTTTTTAATGAATAATTCATTGATTATTATAATTATTTCAAATGTTTGTTCGCTGATTTTTACTAAGTACAATGGAAAGAATCAATGAATCTTTGCAGGTCATCGTTATCAAGATAGTCAATGATCTCTAAAATCAATTCATATGGTAAAGGTATATACTTCTTTACCTGTGAAATAGTTTTGATTTTTTCTAAAAGAAAACTTCTTTTCCAAGCTCTGTCAACTGTGAATTCAAGTAAAGATCGAAGATCATTCTGTTGAGTATCAAAGTATGTTTCTAAATCAAGCTTGATAGTATGATAACCATAACTCTTGAGGAATCCTATCACTCTTCTGTTATTAAGAATTATCTCAGCGAATTCATAAAATGTTATTATTTTATCTCCAAGATGAAAAATATTGTTCTTAAGGTGACCTCGTAGATAACTATTTTCGTAGTCCTGAACAGTATTTCGAATTTCATGATCTTCTATAAGCAATTGATCCATCAATTTCTTTTCTTCTTCAGGAACATATAAGCCAAAGGTTCACCTGTTAACCAAATCCTGAACAATCCACTGAGTAGTAAGTTTTCTTTGTTGTTCAAGTGTGTCCCATGAGATTGGCTCGATTCGATTATACGATTCAGGCCAGGGACGGAGAAACATATGAAGATCTGTATTTGAAATTCTTGTGTTTTGTAGAGCTTTTGACTGTGTCATATCAGTCAGAGGCAATAACTTTTTCACCATCATAGAACACCTTCTGTAGGCAGCCATGTTGAGAAGCAAAGTATCCGGATCTCCTTTTACGGTTTCATTTACGTCAACACCTGCTTCAATTAATTTGCACAGTGTTTGGTATTAAAATTTTAAAAGAAACAGTTGCTTGTCATCAAACCGAAAATTATTGTACTTGGTTTTGTGTAGCAAGTAATGAATTGCATGCAACCCGTTATTATCGTGAGCATTTATCAGCTCTGAATGGTCTTGAAATTTACATACTATCCATTGAGAAAGTTTATAGTCATCTTTCTCTATAGCGTGCATTAATGATGTTTTATTGTCAGCATCTTTAATATTAGCTCCATGATTCATAAAACATTTAGCTAATTCCTCTTTTCTTTCAAGAATGGCGTAGGTTAACAGCGTGATGTTACCACCGAAATCATCAAACCACCTAACAGAATCGAAGCTATCCAAGAATTCCTTTGAGTTTATTGGAAACCCTGCATTTACATTGGCGCCAGAAGCCAGTAAAAAATCAGCGATACTTGGATCTCCATGTAAAGAAGCTAATTGAATCGGTTGGGTCCCGTCATAAGCGACTGCATTTACATCTGCATGATAAACTTGAATCAACAATTTCACCAACATTTCATTGTTCTGTAAGCAAGCGAAGTGCAATGCTGTGTATCCAATTTGTGGAACTATGATTGATAAGAGACTATCTACGTCTACGCCGTGGGATAATATTGATATAACGTCATCCAGGTTATTATTTCTTACAGCTTTATACAGTGTGTTTTTATTCATTTTGAACGAAAAATTTTGAAATTAAAACGAATTTGATCTAAACACTGCATAGATATACATTTTACATGGAGATAAACTTTTATAATCTTATTTTCTAGTAAGGAACTGTAAATTAGTGTTAAAAAATTCTTCTTGCCAACTATTCTAATATTTATAATCACTAGAATCGGTTTTGGTTAGTGACCAAAGACTATGTAGACTATACACCATACTATGTAGACTATATTATGGAGTCTCTATGCACCATACTATCATAGTCTCTATATATGGAGACTATACAGTGTGTAGTCTCCATATCTCTATGGTAGTTTTCCAATTACGAGAGCACAATGCGACTCATTGCCGCACGGTGCCGCATTAGCCAAAAACTGAGTTCCGCCGCACCACCGCTGTACGACTTTTAAAGCGCCGCACCACCGTGCAACTACAGCCGTGACAATTTTGAATATTTTACAAGTGTCGCATCACCGCCACACCACCGCCGTGACAAAAGTAAAGAATTGATCTATTCGCCGCACCACAGCTGTGATATTTTGTTGCAAATTATTTTTTATCCCAAGTATAAATGAAAAATTTTGGAAAATCCAAAAGTGCACGCCGCATAATCTCACTTTATACAATAAAATTGATTAAAATAAAATATTAAAAGTAAAATAACAAAAAACAGAAAACACAGCTATGGTTTAGTGGCGGCATAACTCTAAGGTGAGGAAAAAAAATACTATAATAAAATGTATCGATATAGATATACAAAAATATCGATATAGAGAAAAAATTGAGGTATAAATTTTTATATTTATTTAAACATTATTGCATAAATTAATTATTTTTTAACTATAATGACTCATTGATTATTATAATTATTTCAAATGTTTATTTGCTGATTTTTACACAACAATAATAATTATACTTACATTAAAAATAAAATGTTTTATAAAAATTATAAATATACAAAATATTGTGTTTATATTACTGAATACAATAGAAAGAACCAATAAATCTTTGCAGGTCCTCGTTATCAAGATAGTCAATGATCTCTAAAATTAACTCATATGGTAAAGGTATATACTTCTTTAGCTGTGAAATAGTTTTGATTTTTTCCAAAAGAAAACTTCTTTCCCAAGCTCTGCCAACTTTGAATTTAAGTAAAGCACGAATATAACTATGACCATGAAAGTATTTTTCTAAATCAAGCTTGATAGTATGATATTGATAACCATGATTCTTAAGGAATCCTATCACTCTTTTCTTATTAAGAATTTTCTCAGCAAGTTCATATATTGTTATTTTTTTATCTCCATGATCAATAATTTTGTTTTTAAGATAACCTCGAAGATAACTATTTTCGTAGCCCTGAATAGTCTTTCGAATTTCATGATCTTCTTTAAGCAATTGATCCATCGATTTCTTTTCTTCTTGAGAAATATAGAAACCAAAGGTTTCATCTGTTGACTAAACCCTGAAAAATCCATTGGATAGTAAGATTTTTTCATTCTTCAAATGTGTTTTGTAGCTCGTCTTGGAACAAGCTCTAAAGGCGGCCATATTGAAATTTAAAAAAGGTGTTCAAAATTTTCAGCTTCAAAGGGAGTTTGTAACGATTAAAAAAAAATTCTTTTTGTATTTTATTTCAACCGTGCAAGCAACTTAACTCGTAAAAATAGTTTCAAAAAAATACTTGGTCAAATAAAGTATTTCATTTTTGTGCATAAAAAGATTATAATGAAGAAAGGAGGGTATAAAGTAAGAGCCCCAGTAGCTGCTCATGTAACAGTACATGCTCACTTCATGTATTTGTATATCTATATTCACAAATATACATATACAAATATAGAGAAAAGATTGAGGTATAAATTTTTATATTTATTTAAACATTATTACATAAATTCATTGTTTTTGATTTATAATTCATTATATAATTATAAATATATAAAATATTGTATTTATAGGATTAAGTACAATGAAAAGAATCGATAAATCTTTGCAGGTCATCGTTATCAAGATAGTCAATAATCTCTAAAATCAATTCATATGGTAGAGGTATATACTTCATTAGCTGTGAAAGAGTTTTGAGTTTTTCCAAAAGAAAACTTCTTTTCCAAGCTCTGTCAACTTTGAATTCAAGTAAAGATCGAAGATCATTCTGATGAGTATCAAAGTATGTTTCTAAATCAAGTTTGATAGTATGATAACCATAATTCTTGAGGAATCCTATCACTCTTCTGTTATTGAGAATTATCTCAGCGAATTCATAAAATGTTATTATTTTATCTCCAAGATAAAAAATATTGTTCTTAAGGTAACCTCGTAGATAACTATTTTCGTAGTTCTGAACAGTATTTCGAATTTCATGATCTTCTTTAAACAATCGATCCATCAATTTCTTTTCTTCGTCAGGAACATATAAGCCAAAGGTTCGCCTGGTAACCAAATCCTGAACAATCCACTTAGTAGTAAGTTTTTTTTGTTTTTCAACTCTGTCCCGTAAGCCTGACTGAAATAGCTCAATGCCGCCACACCATGAACGCAAATAATGGCGATAATCTATAGCTGAATTTCTTGTGTTTTGGAGAGCTTTTGACCATGTAATATCAGTCATACGCAATAATTTTCTTACCATCTCAGAACAAGCTCTGTAGGCGGCCATGTTGAGAAGCAAAGTATTCGGATCTCCTTTTACGGTTGCATTTACATCAACACCTGCTTCAATTAATGCGCATAGCGTTCGGTATTGAGATTCTAAAGAAGAGAGTTGCTTTCTATCATACCGAAACTTTCCGTACTTGCTTTTGTGTAGCAAATAATGAATTGCATGTAACCCGTTATTATCGTGAGCATTTATCAGCTCTGAATGGTCTTTAAGTTTTAATGCTATCCATCGGGCAAGTTGATAGTCATCTTTCTCTAACGCGTGCATTAATAATGTTTTATTGTCAGCATCTTTAATATTAACTCCATGATTTATAAAACATTTAGCTAATTTCTCTTTTCTTTCAATAATGGCGTAGGTTAACAGCGTGATGTTACCACCGAAATAATTAAACCATCCAGCAGAATCGGTGCCTTTCAAGCATACCTTTGAGTTTCTTGGAAACTCTGCGTTTGCATCGGCGCCGGAAGCCAGTAAAAAATCAGCGATACTTGGATCTCCATGTATAGAAGCTAATTGAATCGGTTGGGTCCCGTCAGAAGAGATTACATTTACATTTGCGTGATAAACTTGAATCAACAAATTCACCAACATTTCATTGTTATATAAGCAAGCAAAGTGCAATGCTGTGTATCTGGCTTGTGGAGCCGTGGTCCATAAGACACTATCTACGTCTATACCCTGGGACAATATTGATATAACGTCGTCCAGGTTATTATTTTTTACAGCTTTATGTAGTAAATTTTCACTCATTTTGAATAAAATTTTGGGTTGTCGCTATAATAGAGTATTTTTCGTTTATTAAAATTTTAGTTAGAGTTTTTAACTTTGATTCTTACCTGAATTTCTTTTTCCAGATAATTGAGATGAGGTCAGTGACACTAGATCGCACTATTGAGAAAAACGCCCTGATTATAGAAAAAGATATTTGCAAAAATTAAAACGAATTTGATCCAAAAGCTGCATAGATATACATTTTGTATGAAAATAAATTCCTATAATCTTATTTTCTAATGACCAACTGTAAATTAGGGTTAAATAATTTTTTTTGCGTACTATTCTAATATTTCTAATCACTAGAATCTGTTTTGGTAAGAGACCAAAGACTATATGGAGACTATACTATGAAGTCTCCACACACCATACCATAGTCTCTCCATACCAAAGACAATATATATGTAACCCCTTTATGTAACAGCGTCTCCTTCATTTTGATTATCTACTGAGTAATGTGATTCTTTGCTAGCACCTAGGTGGCACTATTAGTCAATAAAAAGTTAATTTAAAAATTTTGGCTACATTGGTTAAACCAACACGCCTTGTATTTTATATTACTTTTTTAATAAAAAAAAAAAAAAAAAAAAAAAAAAAATAAATTTAAAAATTAAAATATGAATTTACTGTGCTATTATTATACCTTAGCATCAAAATATTTATTCTACTTTTAAAAATTTCACTTTTTAAAATAAAAATTTTTAATTACATAAATAACAATTATTTTGCGATTTATTTTGTTAAATCTTATTTAATAGTGACTGAGTAAGAAATATTATTTGGAATAAAATGTTAGTATTTTTTTATAGTTTTATTGAAGAATTTAATGACTATAGAACAACTTATCCAAACCGAACTTTTGTATGTTAGAACAATAAAAAACTGTCATAAATAGAACTGTGACAGATATTGATGCTCTACAACAACAGAACCTTATCATCAACGTTATTAAAAAGCTATTAGTTTCAAATGATATCAAAATCAGGGTTCTCTCGAATTAATTTGTCGTTTTTTATATCTTATAATAATAATCTTTCAATAACCTCATTGTTGTTGAGGATGGAATTTTTTTAAAAATAAAAGTGTAACTCGTAGTTAGTTGTTTTGATGTAAATCTAATGGTTCATGTAAATAAATTGTTTCATTACATAAATATGAATTTTTTGGTTTCAACATGTTTAGTGTTATAATATAAAATATAAGTTTATTTATTATCATAAATGAGTTTTGATTCAAAAGAACAATTTTATGAAAAGTAATTCATCGAAATATGTTTTGGTAACTTAGTAGAGAAGAAGTGAAGAAGAGTATAGAGGATAAAGTGTATTTCAATTATTGCGATAAAGTGATATGGGTAGAATAAAAATTCACGTTGCTTAAGAAGTCATTCTGGTTCCGGTGCTCGAAAAAAAGCCAAAAATCATGATTTTTTTGCACTGAAACTATTATAGATATTAATTCAAAATTTATTTAGCTCAACAAATATACTCTAGCTTGAATAACAAAAAATATCTAACATTATTTTTAACTTCCCGCAAAGAAAATTAAAAATTTTCCAATAAAGGAAAATTATTGATTTCGGACCGATTTTCGAAAGTCGAGTTTTCATCGGATTTCCACATTTTGAGGTCCCAGGAAGAAATTTAAAAAAAAACCAAAAAAAAATTTGAATTTTTATATTTTTTAAAAATAACTTTAAAGCGTGCAAAAAAATCGTAATAAAACTATGTATACATTCTCTGTGAGTAAAAAACTGCGTTATTTGAAAATGAAAATCGAACGACGCATTCAAAAGTTATACTTAGTTGTTTAAAAATTCATAAAATTTTTTTTTTTGATATTTTTTAAAGATATCTTCCAAATTTGTCAACCAATCAATATAAACCTGTAGATTTTCTTTTTGTGCTTTTAAAACTGCGTCGTATGCTTGTTTAAAAAATCTTCAATTTTCTTAGCGGAAATTAAAAAAAGAAAATCGAACGACGCATTCAAAAATTATAGTTGTTTAATAAATACATTTTGAGCTCGAAGATTTGGTTGATTTGGTTGTAGTTCGTGTCATAGCTAATACTATGTAGAATATGTGATTTAAATTTTATTTAGATCGGTTTAATCAATCTGAAGATATTATGTACGTCAACCAAAAAAAAAAAACATAATTCTGAGATAATGGTGCTTAAATTTTTTTATAATTAGAAATATTGTACAATAATATGGTCACAGCGGTCCGATCACTTAGAAACTTTAAAATAATCCTTTTAGATACATGTACTTAAAAAAAATTAGAAAAAAAACAAAAATTTTTTTGAAAGTTACAAACCAGAATGACTCTAATAATATAAAATAATATTCCGGTTGAATTTAATCACAAAAATTTCTTCTTTTTAAAAGGTTTTTAAGTAAAATGTTTAACAATACAGCAAAAACACTAGAAATAAATCCAGCCAATTTTGTCAGCAAATTTTTTTTTTGGTATGTCTACTTTATATATTTTTTCCGCGACAATTATTACGCTGTTAGAAAAACTAATATTAAAATAAACAACATCATTAAAGTCATTAATATCAATAGGTGGACTGTAAAATTATTCAGAAAAGGTTCTCAAGATAAACTTACATCGGAAGACATTTATACCCCGTTGAATCTTGATGAGTCCAAGACTCCAGCCAATGATTTAGAACGGTAATATCTTATTATTTATAAACTATTATTTTTTATGTTCTTATAATAATTTTTTACTTGAAAAGGAGGTGGAATTGCATTAAAGAAAATTCTTCTAAGCCGTTTTTTATAAAAGCAATTATCCAAACATTCTGGTTGAAGTATCTCTACATCGTAATTTTTGTAATACTGGAGCAAATAATCCTAAGAAATTCCCAGCCATTTATTATGAACTGGATAATTGAATATTTCACGATAGAACCTACGATTAATGTTACACGAAAGGATGCTTTTATTTACGCAACTATAATTGTTGCCACCATAATTGCAATCAGTTTTATTGCTCATCACGTTTATTGTATCAGTCAGATACTGGGGATTAAAATTAGAATAGCTTGTTGCGCATTGATTTATAAAAAAATTTTGAAGCTCAACAAATCGGCATTCAAAAAAAATAAACGTGATCAAATTATAAATCTTTTGAATAATGACGTATATAACTTTGATTTGCTTCCGTTGAGTCTCAACTTCTTATGGATAACTTTTATTCAAGTAAATAACTTTTTACATTAATTACACTTTTATCTAATCATTTATTATTTACAGTATGTTTTTTATATAGATGATTATAATTTTTCCCATCGTTTGGCAAACTATCGGTCTGCATGTTATTGTCGGCTTTGGAGCTCTTTTAACTGTGGTTATTTCTATGCAAGGGTGTATTGAAATTGTAGACAGTACGCTCAGGAAGATGATTGAAAAATTAACTGATCAACGAAATCAGATAGTTAAAGAAATAACTATTGGAATTAAGGTATATTTGATTTTATTGTACTAGTATACGTTGCGTGCGCAAGCGCGCGTGTGAATGTTAGTATGGAATTATCTATATTTTCATGCTATGATATATTTGACCAATCACGTTACGAATAGTTTGCTCTTACATGATATATTTTCATATTTTTCATGTAAATTATAAGAGTGGATTATAAAAACTAACGCTCAGTCACTAAATCGATAAATGCAGTGTTGCTTCTTCGAGGGTACAGTCCTAGTTTGTCGGCTAAAAAAATAAGCGATTTTTGGAAATTTCTCGTGAGCTTGCTATGAAAGATACGGTTATTAAAGTTGTTAGGGATGATAAAAAAAAAGTCAAATTACAAAAAAAAAAATTTTTCAGTTTTTTTTACAAAATTTGAAGGCAGGTCGGCTCCTACACGATATATCGGCAACGGCTGATGTGAAACCAAAAAATCAAAGTGTTTTAGATTCGGTATGACAGTGCACGGAAAAAAGTAAACTGTAATATTCACTCGGATTCCGGTTTATTTTTATAGTTTCAAACAGTAAAGCGGACATCGGGGTGGCAAAAATGTAAATATTACAGAACTTAATGTAGAAAGTATAAAAGCCACAATTTATAATTTAATATCCAAAATAAGTGATTAGTAGTTGTCACTATAGTAAATAACGACTTTTTAATCTTAAAAAATTACAGTTTTAAACAGTAAAAATTGCGATTTCAATATATAGTCCATATTATGAGGAGAAGGGGAACTCAGATGAAAGATAAGGGGGTCTCATTCTGGGAGAATTTAACATTTGAAACAGTAAAAATTATACTTTTAAAATATACATTTTACCAGTCCAAGCAATTCAATAATTACAGTTTGATTTTTAGCGTTGCGTTTAAAATTTACCATTTTACTTTGTAAATATTGACGTTGCTTGTATTAGAAATTTATTAACTTTATTTTATACTTTTTACATATCATAACATCATTTTTTAGGTACGAAATGATAAATATCCAAGTCAAAATTCTTAATTATTATAGCGAATATTACTGTTTGAAATAGTATTTTCTTCCATGTAAAGAGTAAATTGTAACGTTTAAATGGTAAATATTATAAAGTGAATAGTAAAATCACGATTTTACTGTTTAAAATGGTAATTTTTAGCAGTTGATCATTACTTATTATAAATCGACTGTTATTTATTACAGTTTACTTTTTTCCGTGTGGCTACAAAATAGACTATTGATATTAATTTTGAACAATTGTTGTTAATTTCAAATAGCAAATAGCAAAAAAATTGTTTTTTTTTCTCGCTGTTATTAGTTAATAAAAAAAAAGTAAAATACGTATACATTTGAAAAATGTATAAAAAAAATCGAATTTTTGAAGGTGACCAACTAGACTACGCACCCTTAAATTTCATTAATTAAATTAATTTGTAACTAAAGGTCTTTTTAATTTTGTTTCATTTTAATAAAAAATTTATTTCTTCTTTTCATTTAATTAGATAGTCAAAATGTATGTATTGGAAAAATATTTCGACAAAGTTATGGATAAAATAAGAACAGAAGAAGTACAACAGTTAAGACGTTCATTGCATATTAGAGTATTTCACAGTTGTTTACAAGGAATTACTTGTAAAATAATGGTTTTTGTAACACTAATGAGTTTGAGTTCAGAAGGAGTAATTTTTAATTCTAGAATAACTTACAATATTTCTGTTTATTATCATATTCTTCAGTTCCTGGCGATAATATATTTGCCGATATCAATCAATCGTATTGTGGAAATTTACACAATGATTAACAAAATTCAAGTAATAACTCAATCACTAGTTATAATTACTAATGACATTCAGGGAATTTCACTTTAAATCTGAAGTTTTTCTAAAAACATTATTATTATCTTCAAAATTTTATTCTTGCTTAATGAACTCATTATTTTTAGTTCAAGAAATTTTTCTTAATTTAATATTATTACAAAATTTTAATGATACGAATAATTTTTTCATTGAAAAGCAATTTATTTTTAAAAGAATATAAAAAAATTTTTCGTTTAAAACTGCAATGTTTTCTTAAATTAAGAAATGATATTCACAGTTTAAGAAGAATACATTCAACTCAAATATATTGATATTCTTGGCAGAAGAATATAGAATTTTTTATCCGTTGACACGATTTTTGAGAAGATAATACATTTATTACTCTATAAATAGTATTTGATTTTAAAGGGATTCTTAATTTAAGGCGGCGCTGCGGTCTAATTGTCTGAAGCCAAAAACATCGATGTTCTTGAGTGAATTTATTTAGCTTTGAGGTAAATAAAGTATCTCAGTAGCATCGGGCACATCCTGTGAGACTTTTCTCCTTTTTCCCCCTCTTGCTCCTGGGGTAGTTAGCCTTAGGGTGATGAGGTGTCACTTATTGGGTCCGGTGAGGGCATCTGCATGTTTTTAAGGCTTGGAGAGGGGCAATAGAAACATTGAGTAGCCTATAATGATGACGGTATGACATTTAGTGATTTAAAAATAAGTCACCAATGATGACATCGTATAGTTCTCTAAAGGCCTGGATAATTCAGGTGATAGTTTTGACCCGCGGTGAAACGTTCGGAACTTCAGGTACATGTAATTTACGGCAAGGCATGGAAAGTATGTTTTTTCTATATTTTAAGCTATTTATTGTAGCATAAGCATAAGCATAAGCATAATTTAGTAAGCGTAAGCATAAGCATATTTCATAAGCATAAGCATAATTTAGTAGATTTATACGAATTGAATTCATAAAATCTTGCGCTTATAGAAATATTTATACAATATTTTGAAAATAAAGTAGCCAAAAAAAGTACACTGGCCACAAACGATACTTCTACCCTAATTTTTTTCAATTGCTGAATAAAAATATTCTGATAATAAAATAAACAAACCTGAACAGTCCCATTATTCAATTGCATAACAACAGCAGTTTGTGTGCGGAACCATTGATGCATGTAAGGAACACGGGACATGGCGTCATTTTTAACAGCAACAGATCCACCAGCTTTCATAAGATGTTCATTCATGTACTGCAGGAAAAAAGTCATCAATTTCATTTTCTTCTCCAAGGTATCCGGATAATCTTTGACAGTGTAGTAAGTCTCAGTGAGGTCACGACTAATGTAATGAATATTGAATTTATTAGCCAGCATAATAAGTCTCGTTCCATCGTTGTACATAACACCGACTCCATCATCACACAGCTGATAACCAAATCCATATTTATCAGAGTAATCAACCCACTTGCTGACCCAAACCAACGGCTGAGCAGAAGGATCAGTATTTTCAACCGCCAGGGAAGCATCTGTGCGTCCCGGTTTAGCAGCTAACACCGCAGTGACTTGTTCCTTTAGTGTTATCAACATGCGCTTGACATTACGACCAGATTTTTGAGCATCAGTCTGGCTTTCTGATCCTTTAGTGCCAACACGTGGAGCTGGACTTGTTGGGATACGGAAGGTTCCTTTATCATCCTCTTCATTTTGATTCATTTCTGATAAAGGTTTTCGGTTGTAAGTTTCGAGTGTGTCAACACGTGGTGCCATTGTCAAACAAGACAGCGGAAGACTTCGTGGCATGAACCCAGATGAAAAGAATGGATCTTTAAGCAACTTCATCACACTGGGCCGTTTACTTGGATTTCCCTGAAGTGTATTGGTTATCATAGCAACAGCTGGTTGGCTGATATTTGATGGAGTTTTGTAGTTAACAGTCTTTATACGAGCGTAAGTTTCACGCAAGCTCGATGTTTCGAATGGCGGCTTACCGACCAACAGTGTGTACATTATACAACCGATACTCCATACGTCTACTTCATATGAATGCCCGGCTTTTGTTAATATTTCTGGCGCAATGTAATTTGGAGTACCACACAATGTTTTCTTACGTTCACCATCATGAACCAATCTTGTAGCTAATCCAAAGTCACCAATTTTAACTTGTAATTCATCGTTCAGAAATAAATTACCTAGCTTTAAATCACGATGGATTATTTTATTTTTGTGTAAATAATAAACACCATCTAAGATTTGTTTCATAAAATAACGGGTTTCACATTCTGTTAGTGCTTTTCTACGTTTATGCAATTCCATCATCGACTAAAGTAAAAATAAAAAAAAAAAAAAAAAATAAAAATAAAAAAAAATAAAAAATAATTGAATAAAATCATAAAAGTATAATTTAAATTATAAAAAAATATGCTTACTCTTTTTCGACATAATTCTAAAATAATATAGACGTTATAACAATCATCAAAGAAACCATAAAAACCAACAATATTTTTGTGATTTAAACTTTTGTGTATCTGAATTTCTTGAGTCATTTTTTCACGGTGATTGCTTTTAGTCATCATTGACTTTGATACTATTTTACCGGCATAAACACTCTGGGATTTTGATTCACGGATCTCGTAACATTTTGCAAAGCCACCCTACAAAAAAAAATATTTTATATTAATGAGAATTAATTTAGTAGATATTTAATTTTTTTAACAAATAAATTATGGCGAAAATAAATGAAAAAAAATTGGCATGTAGAAATTTTAAAAAATTATAAATGCAATTTTTTTAAAATACTTTTTCAGGAAAAATTTATTTGTTAAATAAAATTAATGTCATTTTATATTAAAAATTTCATTGGAAAAATTTTTTTCAATGCAAAAATTAAATAATTTTATAGAATAAAATATTTTTATTATTTATGAGGATTGAAATTGAGAAACATGTGATTATTTTATGAAAATTAATTTAGCAGATATTTAATAAATTAAAAAAATTATATAAAAAATAAATCATGAAAAAAAAATTGACATGTAGAAATTTTAAAAAATTATAAATGCAATTTTTTTAAAATAATTTTTTAGAAAAGATTTAATTGTTAAATAAAATTAAAAAATTATCGTGACTGCTAACTTTAGTGTCATTTCATATTAAAAAATTCTGTTAAAAAATTTTTTTCAATGAAAAAATAAAATAATTTTTTAGAATAATATATTTTTTTATTTATGAAAAATAAAATTGAGAAAAATGTATTTTGTACAAATTAATTTAGCAGATATTTTAGAATTTTTTTTTAATAAATAAAGTATGGCAAAAATAAATGAGAAAAAAAATTATCAAATATCTGCTCTGTTAATTTTCATGATAATTTTTATAATTTTTCTAACAAATAAATTATAATAAAAAAAATTTATTTAAAAAATTCCATCTTTAGAAGCTCTAAAAAATTATAAATACAATTTTTTTAAAATAATTTTTCAGAAAAAATTTGTTTGTTAAATAAAATTAAAAAATCCTCATGTGACTGTTAACTTTAATGTCATAATTTTTGTAATTTTTCTAACAAATAAATTATAATAAAAAAAATGTATTAAAAAAATTATAAATGCGGTTTTTCAAAATAATTTTTTAAACTTAATTTATTTTTCAATTAAAATAAAAGAAATTGTCAATGAAATTTTTCTAAAAGTGTCAGCATCATAATTAGCATAAGGTTAAAAATAAAAAATAAAAATAAAAAAGAAATAAATAAAGCATTAAATATATTAAGTGAGCATGACATAAAATATATAAAGGACATACTTTTCCAAAGAAGCGGCCCTTGAGATAGCTTTTTCCAGCATTCTCGTCATAAATAACATCAGGAATAATAGACTCTTTTTCATCCTTAGACATTTTGTAACTGCACTTGGGTTTTCAACACAGGAAATAAACAAAAACTATTTATAATAACAACAATCTATCCATAAATTTAATAAGAACAATATATCACCCACAGGAGAAATTATTTTATAAAAATCTTACAGTGTATAAAACTCGCCGATCAACACTACCTACTATATACCGCTCACAGGATAGCACACACCAGCACATCCTATACAGTTGTATTTTGGCAACGGACGAACTTTTGAAATTTTTTAACCCAATCACAAGCACTCTAACTCAAACGGTTAACGAACCGGAAATAAACCCAATTGACTAATTGGATTAAATATTTTATCAACAGTATTTTATAACTTGACATTTATTCTATTTATTCTTAATAAAAAAAAAAAATTTTACGTGATAATTATTGCAAGTAAATATTTAAAAATATAAAATGTCAAAAAAAAAAAAAATTGTTTTATTGAGGATGCCTCTTAAACTTCTTAAACTTAAGCCGAGCATGCGCGCTGAAAGGGTCCGAGTGTAATGCGCAAGAAAACGATCGATGATGCGACTTCCACAGAAGCCGGCGTCCATTTTATCTTGTTGATAGTGTTTGGTGCGTTTAATAATCATTTAAGTTTTTAATTGTCACTTGGTACTGTCACTAAGTTCCTTTTTACCAAGAAAATAAACAAATTGTAAGCATGGTTTTTTTATACTTTAATTTTTTATTATTATTATTGTTATTATCATTAATTATTCGAGTTAATAATTACTCAGTATTATGAGCGATGGATTATTGAGCCGTAGTTTTATTAAAAATTTAATTTTAAGTATTAAGTAATTATTAATAAGGTAATTTGTCAGAATTATATTTAATGATAGCTTTATTAATTATATTTACTTATTGAAGATTGAGCAATGGAAAGCGGACCTCCTGCTCGTGGTGGATTTAGAGGACGAGGAGGACCAATGCGGGGACGTGGTGGTTTTGGAGAGCGTGGACGGTAAGGATTCTTTTTTTTTTTTTTTTTTTTTTTTATGAAGATTCACTTATAAATTTGGAGTTTTTGACGAACAAATTTATTTCTATAGAGGTGGCCCTCCAAGAGGTGGAATGATGCGCGGACGTGGTGGAGCACCTGGTCCAATGCGAGGAGGCCCACCGGGGATGCGAGGTCGGGGAGGACCTCCGGGACGAGGTGGACGCGGCGGACATTATCCTCCAGGGTTTGTAAATTTTTTATTATGAATTAATTAAATTGTGTCATGGTGACATTAAAGTTAGCAGTGACTTGACCATTCTTTAATTTTGTTTTACAAAAAAATTTATTCCCAAAAATTATTTTGAAAAAATTGCAGTTTTAATTTTTTTTAATTTTTACATGTCAATTTTTTTTGCCATAATTTATGTGTTAGAAAATTTTTTTAAATTATCAAATATCTGCTAAATTAATTTATATTTTCATGACAAAGTTGTCAAAAAATTTTCCGGGAAAATTACGTAGTTTTTGAAATTAAAATTATTTCTTAATTAATATTGACAGCTCCATTTTCTGGAGCTTATTTTATAATTTTTGTAATAGTTTCGAATTATTTTTTTATTTTTCGCCAGATACTTGACCATTTTTATATTTTGTTTTACAAACAAATTTATATCGAAAAATGATATTTAAAAAATTGCATTTTTAATTTTTTAAAATTTCTACATGTCAATTTATTTATTAGAAAATTTTTTTAAATTATCAAATATCTGCTAAATTAATTTTCATTGTCATAACAAAGTTGTCAAAAAATTTTGGAAAATTACATAGCTTCTAAAATTTAATTGAAATAATTTTTTAATTCATATTGACAGTTTTATTTTCTGGAGCTTATTTTATAGCTTTGGTAATAGTTTTGAATTATTTTTTTATTTTTCGTGAGATTTTAGAAAAATTAAATTTTTATTCAATAATTATCTTTAGGTATAATGACAAAAATAACAAATACAAACATTAAAAAAAAAAAACTATGAATGCAAATTTTTTTAATAATTGTTTCTTCTGAATTTATTTTGTTTTTTTAATTAAAAGTGATTAGATAATATCCTAAAAATTTTATTGTATTTAAAAAAGAATTTATCATAAAAATTAATTGACACTAAGGTAAAGTACCCAGTAGTGGAACAGGTTTTAACGTAAAACGTACGTTAACCCAATTTTTATACAAAAGATGTAATTATTAGTTCAAATTAGTTATTTCCATGAAAATTTAAACAATTTTGAATGGATTGGAGCGCAAAATGACGCAGATAATTGAATATTTATATTTTGACAACATTTTTAAGATAGACTATAAAAGAAGTAGTAGTTGAACAATCAATTCTGACAAGCTGCAGTAGTATCTAAAGAATTATAACATATTATTGATTAATATTAAAAATAATACTATGAATATTTAATATGTTCATTTAAAAATGAGAAATATTTGTATTTAATTTTTTAATTACATTTTTTATGAATGACAAAGCTAATTTTCAATTATAAATCAAAAAAACTCAATTCAAAACGTTCAATAATTTTTAATTACACTAATTTTTAGCTATCAAACTTATTTAATTTGCAGTAATTAATACAAATCACAATGCTGATTACTACTCTATAAACCTATTAAAGATGATAGTGCTGTTTAAAATTATTCGGCTCCAGCTTGTTCAAGTTCTGGGTACTACTTTGAAAATTTGGAGATATAGTTAGACACTAAAATTTAATATAAAAATTATAGTTTATGTCTTTGCAACAAAATATGTATTATTTAGAAAAGACTATTTCATTGGGTGGTACAATTTTTTTTTACTTAAAATGATAATGTACCGTTTTTTTTTTTTTACTGATTATTCGGTTTACGGTTTAGTATCTTTTTCATGAAAAAAATAGCATCTGTCGGCTATTCTCGACATGTTAACTTTTAAGTTAACAACAAAAATATAATTATTTTGATTTATAATTAAAAAAACTTACAGAAATCAATAACTATTATTGAATAATTATAACATACGCATATTACTCATAATGAATATACGGATTTTGTATTACTATTTGAAAAGTCTGTTCAAGTACCTCCAATTTTTATAAGTGTTCAAGTACTGGGTACTTCACCTTAATAATTTCTTTTTTCGGAGAGAAAATCGGGTAAAGGCTAAAAATATTGACCAGTTTAGATAAAATGAACATAGATTATTTGTAAATTTATGTGAAGAGTTTATGAGCTAAAACAAGTTTTTTTTTTTTTTTTTTTTTTTTTTCATAGTTTTAACTTAAAAACTATAATAATTTTGTTTATAAAATACATAATAATTAATGTTACAGCCGATTCCTACAAATATTGACCATTAATTACTAAATACTGACCAGTAGTATTTTTCATAAAAAATTTAATTGAATTTTTTATTGATATTATAAAAAAATTTTTAATTAGAATTCAAATAATTATTAATTAAATCCAAAGTTTTATATACAATTTTATTAAAAAATTCAATTTTTAATTTAAATTCTTCAAAATTATATATAAAAAAAATTTTTCACTCATTTTAAAGAAACGTAAATTTTTGCTAATATTAAAAATTATAATTATAATAGCGTAAAGACTCCAAACATCGACCATTTTAGATAAAATGAACGTAATAGATTATTTGTAAATTTATTGGAAGAGTTTATTAACTGAAACGAGTGTTTTTTTTCTTTTAATAGTTTTAACTTACCAACTATAATAATTTTGTACTGGTCCCATTTTTCTAAGTATTCAATTACTGAGTACTTTACCATAATTAACTTTTAACTATGTTGTAAAATACAACTTTAATTCCAACAATAATCTAATAAAAAAAAAAAAAAATATTTAGAGGCCCGCCAGACACAAGTTTAGCAGGACCAGGTGGAGCCCCACCACCTCCCCCAGGAGTCGGTGGCCCAACACGTGGAAGTGGTCGGGGAGCACCAGGTGGATTCCGTGGTCGAGGTCGAGGAGACTTCGGGCGTGGTGACAGCCGGGGAGGTGGTTTCCGCGGCCGCGGTGGTGATCGTCGAGGTCGTGGCTCGGGGATGTTCAACCGCGACGGACCACCAAGAGGCTCAGGTCGTGGCTCCAATGGTTCTGGTTTCGGAGACCGTGGACGTGGAATGGACCGTGGCCGCGGTGCTCCAGTTAAGCGTGGAGGAGTTCCCGGTGCCGGTGGACCCCCAAAGCGACCAAGATACGACGTTACAGCTGCCCAGCCTGCTAATGGTTACGCTTCCCAGCCACCAAGCCAAGGCTACGGACCTGGTAACGGATACGGACAAGCAGCACCAGCTCCTGTGGGTAGCTACGGAGCTACTACTGGTACCTACGGACCACCTCAGAGCGGTTACCAACAGTCTTATCAAGGGTATGAGAGTTATCCTACACCTGCAGACTACACACAATCAACGGTGATTATTTTTAAACAGTTCTTACGATAAATTCTTACAATAATGTATCCAACAGTTATTTTATTTATTATTAATTAATTAGACGTTTTATCAACAGGGATATCCAGCACAAGTACCACCAGACAACAGATATGGTGGTATACCGCCAGCACCTGCAGCAAGTTTTAATTCCAGTGATCCATATGGCTATGGAAAAGTTCCGCCTCAAGGTTTGTCCTTTAAAATAATTATTTTGTATTTAGAAAATCTTTTTTCTATCAAAAATTTTTTTTTTACACGGAAAAACTTTGATAAGTTCAACTTTTTTGGTAATTCTTTACAAGTGGGGTCCACCATTTTAATTTTCATTTTTTTTAGTGAAATTTCTATTTGATTTTATTGATACTACACGGAAATAACAAGATGATACTGGATATCATCCCAGATTATACTAAGTGATAAAAAATTTCAGATAGTAGCTAGTATAATCCAAATTACAATAAGTATCATCCAGATTACAATGAGTATAATCCAGATATCACGCAGTATAATCTGGGATAAGATCCAGTGTCATCTTGTTCTTTCCGTATAGGAATGCAAATTGTGCGCATACTTCTAAACCAATAAGGAATCAGGGTACATATTTTCGAGTTATTTCGATATTAAGCTAACTCCAATCAGCCATCAATTTTAATATGTAGAATAGTTTTTTTTTTTTTTTTTTTAAATACAAAAAAAAATGAACAATTTAAGGAAGTACGAGCACCAAGGCAACTTTTGATAAAAGACTTGATTTTTTTTTAATATGAAGTTTAAATATGTCTAAACAAATTCCGAAAATTTGAAGGAGATTGCCCGATTATTTATATAAATAATTAACTTTAAAGTTGAGCAATTTAATATTGGTCTTATGGGGTAACCTCCAAACATTGATACATTTCTGTATTTTTCTCGTAAAACTGCGGGTGAATATTTTTAAAAAACTTATGGATCAAAGTAAATATATTAGTGATAAATTTAATTCAAAAACATTTACACTTGCCCGACTAATTAAAATGTATTAATTAAAAGAAAAATTAATGCCGCCATTAGCCAATGTTAAATGTATATCTATATATTGAGAAAAATCATAACTCCAATCAGCCATCAATTTTAATATGTAGAATAGTTTTTTTTTTTTTTTTTTTTTTAAATACAAAAAAAAATGAACAATTTAAGGAAGTACGAGCACCAAGGCAACTTTTGATAAAAGACTTGATTTTTTTTTAATATGAAGTTTAAATATGTCTAAACAAATTCCGAAAATTTGAAGGAGATTGCCCGATTATTTATATAAATAATTAACTTTAAAGTTGAGCAATTTAATATTGGTCTTATGGGGTAACCTCCAAACATTGATACATTTCTGTATTTTTCTCGTAAAACTGCGGGTGAATATTTTTAAAAAACTTATGGATGAAAGTAAATATATTACTAAATTTGATTCAAAAAAATTTACACTTGCCTGACTAATTAAAGTGTATCAATTAAAAGAAAAATAAATGCCGCCATTAGCCAATGTTAAAGTATATATATATATTGAGAAAAATCATATGGTTATTGCTCTCCCCTTACTGCGCTAGAGTCGATATCTATCCCCACCCCGCCTAACGCTCGTACTTCCTTAAAAAAAAGTTTGCACGCCTAATTGATAAAAGATTTCATTTATGAATAGAAAATACTTGAATATAAATATTTTTACTTGAAATTAAAGTCTAAAAGTTATAAGAAATGCAGCAATACTAAAAAAAATCAGGTATAAAAATTTTGCAGTTACTGCGTTTTAAAATTGGACAGCCGATTTCTATTTGATTTTATTGATATATTTTTTTTTTTGAAAAATTCATAAAAAAATGACCAATTTAATAAAAAAAAAAGTTGATTATCACAATTTTAACAAATTTTTTAGAAAATTGTGATATTCAACTTTTTTTTATGTACTTTTCAAAAAAAAAATATCAAAAAAAGATAAAATAAAAATTTTATCCAAAAACATGAGAGCCAAAATTTTTTCCAACTTTTTGAAGGCAAAAAAGCTATCAATTTTTTTTTTTTTTTTTATTTTCATCATAAATGGGCCGTAGAAACAAACAGAATAAAAAAACATTGAAAAATGTTAATTTTTTACTTAGATATGGCCAAAAATAAAATGCACCCCACTTGTAAATAATTATCCTTTTTTTTCTGTCAAAAATTTAATTTTTTTACACGGAAAAAATTTTTGATAAGTTCAACTTTTGTTGAAATTTTCTTTGAATATTAAAAAATCTCAAAACTATTGGACATTGTCCCAAATACCCGTCATGTATATAAACTCACAAAAATTATTTATTGCTATAAAATAATAGATTGTAATTGAAATATATAATAAAAAAAAAAAAAATTTTAATAGTTTATGGCATTGGATAAGAAAATTTTTCCGTGTACTATAATTTGGTTAAACCACTTATTTCCGTTAGTTATTTTTGATCTGTTTTGTAAAAAAATCTTTTGAAAGATGTATTTAAAAATAGTTGAAAAAAAAAAAAAGTATTAGAGATAGAAATAGAAAAAATAATAATATTTGTATGCCGGGTGCGCAGTTAATTACCAACAGGAGGCAGTTGCTCCTGCTGTGGGTGGTGGTGGTGATGGTGTTGGAAATTATCCTCCTGCTAATCCTTACGACGACCAATCCTGTAATAACAGCGGCATGACGGTCAGGGGTGATTATTCAACACACGAGTATGGTTAGTTTTCTCACAGAGACTACTTTAATTATGCATAAATTATAATATAATGGGATTCATTTGTCGATTCAGGCGAGAAAATAATTATTATATATCACCGCCAAACCACTATTGAGCACTGCCTTCTGATTGGGGGAAAGAAAAAAAAAACAATTCTCTCTTAAACTTTTATGCACTGTTAATTATTGGAAAAAAAAAAAAAAAAAAAAAAAAGAACAAGAAAAATTATTACCTTTTATTTTTCTCGTCTGAGTCTCTATGAGTTTTAATTATTGAATAATGTTTTAATTTTTTTTTTTAAATTAAAAATTAAATTTATTATTACATTCTGTTACAGACTATACAAGTCAAGACGGTGGCTATGGAAAACAAGATTATGGTGAGTACCAATCTGTTGACAGGCATTTCTATTAAATAAAAAAAAAATGACGAAAGAAATGAAAAGTTAATAATTAAGAAAAAAATCAGAACAACAAAAATTATTATAGAAATAATTAATAAAAGAATACTGGAAATTTTATTAAGGACTAGTATCATTGCTATGATAAATTTAATAAATATATATGTATAATTCAATTTAAATAATTATAAAAAAAAAATAACTCACGAAATATAATCAATTGATAATAAAAATTTATAATATATAGGTAATTTACTTTAGGATATATTTAGGATAAACAAGGTTTAATTATAGGATTAATCAAAATATCAGTTATTAATAGATGAAATCAATTGTTTGATAATGAATTGATTAATTAATGAATAATATTAATTAAACCACTGATGATGAGTTGGTTATGAAGTATGAAAATGACTTTAAGAATATCAATGAATAATTGATTTATGTACAATGATTTAAATAAATTTTAAATATATACAACCGGAAGAGCTATTACTGCAGACGGCATACTGGTTTCTAAAGTCTCCAGTTTTCGAAATTTTACTTTCATATTTGACAAACGAATTAAATAATTTTTTTTTTTTCTCTAAGTAGTTTTATAAATTAATAAATTATATTTAATTGAAATTTTTTTATCGACAGTGAGAATATTATTTATAAGTAATTTTTTTTTTTTTTCTTAGTAAAGTTGACAATGTCATAACTTTCATTAAAAGTAAAAGCACTACGGATGATACGAGTTATTTTTAAATATTTTTACGTTACAATTTTTATATTGAATTATTATGCATAATAATAAAAAATTAAAATTTTTATAAATTAAAAATGTTAAACTAACGTAAAAATATTTTTAAAATAAAAAATTAATATTTTTTAATTAAAAAAAAAAAAAAAAACCTTTTTATCATTTATGATTTTTTTATTGCGATTATTAAATTATATCGAAAAAAAATTAAAATTTCTTGAAAATATTTATAAAAGTGTAAGAAAAACTCTAAAAAATTTAAAAATAAAAAAAAAAACCTTTTTATCATTTATGATTTTTTTATTGCGATTATTAAATTATATCGAAAAAAAATTAAAATTTCTTGAAAATATTTATAAAAGTGTAAGAAAAACTCTAAAAAATTTATATCTTTGTTTTACAACTTTAAAATCACGAATGTCACCATTAATATTAGGAATATTTAATTTAATAATTAAACAGGTGAAAATAGTGTTTAACTATTAGCAAAATTCAAAAACACACTTAGTGAATTAATATGTAAGTGAGATATATTTCTCAAAATTTATATAAAAAAAAAATTAACAATTATTTCTTCTTTTGATTTGTGAGAATTTTTAAATTTAGTGTCAATATTATTATAAATTATAACTTATTAACTTTTTTTTTTTAAATTAAAATTCAATGTAAAATAAAATATATAAATTAAAGTATTAATAAGAACATATTGTAAACAAATTTACAGCAAAATACATTTTTTTTAGAAATACGAAATTAATTTAATAGCCATGATATTTATTTATCAATATTTTAATAATTTTAATTAATATAGATATAAATATATAACTGCCATTACCATAAAAAATAATTAAGTATTGCGTAAGTTTACTGATTAATAGTAGTAACCATAATTCAACACATAATTAGACAGACATTAACTAAGAAAATTTTTTTTTCTTCAATACAAAAAGTTATCGATAAATGAATAGGTGAATTTAATATTTTTTTTCTTGTAATAAAAACACTTTACAGAATCAACAAAAAATAATTTTCAATTTATAGATTTATAAGGTAAAGTACCCAGTAGTTGAATAGGTTTCAAAGTAAAATGTATTTGACCTTATTTTTAATATATAAAGATGTAATTATTAGTTCAAATTAGCGATTTTCATAAAAATTCAAACAATTTTAAATGGATTGGAGCGCAAAATAATAAAGATAATTGAATATTTATATATTGACAACGTTTTTAAGATAGACTATGAAAGGAGTAGTAGTTGAACAATCAATTCTGACAAGTTGCAGTAGTTGAACACTCCGGGAGTAGTAGTTGAACTAATAAAATATATGACAATAGGCACAGCAAAAGTTTTCAATGTTTCATTGAAATATCAAAAGAATTATCTATATTATTAAAAGAACAAAAAAATTTTTGTGGTCAGTGTATTTATATAATAATAAAATGGGTTTTTATGGTTAAATTTAGTATCGTTGGAAAAGTCTTGACCTGGAGTTATGTCTTACAAGGTTTTATATCATTTCCACCTATAGTCAATTTATGATGATAAGTATTTAGGCTGCATTCGAAAATGCTCTATCTCTAGATACATAATTAAGAAATGACCTTGTATCTTGTGAACTATTGACATTTTTTAAGATATAAGCTCATCCTGACATTACACTCATCTAGACCTTTCATTTGAGTACCCACATCAATTTTTCATATATTTTATATATTTATATATATGTATATATGAAAAATATATCAAAAATGCATGTGGGTACTCAAATGAAAGGTCTCGACGAGTGTAACATCGGGATGAGCTTATATCTTTAAAATATATATTATATATATATGTATATATGAAAAATATATCAAAATGCATGTGGGTACTCAAATGAAAGCTCTTGATGAGTGTAACATCGGGATGAGCTTATATCTTTAAAAACATCAATAATTAAAAAAATACAGTGCAATTTAACTAAAATCATTATTTAATAAAGTAAAATTTTATTTATTTATAGTTCACAAGTCACGGCAGTCACGTAGTGACTGCAAGATTTCTAGTCACATATTATTTGAATAATATGAATATCTAATATATCTAATATATTAATTTAAAAATGAGAAATATTTGTATTTAATTTTTTAATTACATTTTTTATGAATGATAGAGCAAATTTTCAATTATAAATCAAAAAACTCAATTCAATAATTTTTAACTACACTAATTTTTAGCTATAAAACTTATTTAATTTGCAGTAATTAATACCGCTTTGAAAATTTGAAGATATAGTTAGACGCTAAAATTCAATATAAAAATTACAGTTTTTGTCTTTGGAAAAAATATGTATTATTTAGAAAAGACTATTGAGTGGTACAATTTTTTTTACTTAAAATGACGTACCATTTTTTTTTACTGATTGTTCAGTTAACGATTTAGTACCTTTTTTTATGAAAAAAATATCTATCGGCTATTCTCGATATGTAAACTTTTAAGTTAACAAAAATATAATTGTTTTGATTTATAATTGAAAAAACTTACAAAAATCAATTACTGTATCATTGAATAATTATAACATGCGCATATTACTCATAATAAATATACGGATTTTGTATTACAATTCTAAAAGTCTGTTCAAGTACTGGTCCCATTTTTATAAGTGTATTACTGGGTACTTTACGCTATTTGATTTTATAAAATGTATTTTTTCGTTTAGCAAACTTAATGTACTTAGAAAATTGATCTAAAGAAATTACCCATTTACTTCCACACCTTTTGTACAAAAAATCAATAAGAAACTTTTTAATTGAAAATATTCAGTTTCAGAGGCTATTTAAGATCAAAAAGTCATACTCAACAAACTGTTCAAGCAAAACTATTAATTACTTGATAAATTTTTTTTTATTTTATAATAAATATTTGAGATGCAAGTCTATGAATAAAGAAGACATCAAGTGAATGAGAAATTCATTGAAAATACATCAATTATTATTGAAAAAAATATTCTCAATAATTGTGAGAATTATCCGCATAATATTCGCTCCTATATTTTTTTAATTAATTTTTATTTATTTTAAATATTTATTTAATTTTTTAATATTCGATTATTTTATTTCCAATAATTATAATAGCACATATTTAAAAAATTGCAAAAAACATAAGTGTTATTTTTAAAAAATTTTTTCATAATAAATATTTACATTTATGTTTATTATTATTTGATATGTATATTATAAATTAAAATGAAAGATGTAATAATAAAAATTGAAAAAATTAATAATAATAAACTAGCAAACTGTCCTAGGAGCAAACTGCCCAGCGATAATAAAACAGAACAGCGAATGAATGAATAATGAAGCATACATTCTCGCATTTTTTTGCTTAATTATACCGTAGGTATTTTTTATTAATCAATTTTTTTGATTGCAAATTTAAAAAATAAATTTTTTCTTTATGAAATTCTCACAATAAAAACATATGATAGAAATTTTATTTTAACTTACAAAAAAAAATAATTTTTAATATATAAAAATATATATTAAAAAAAAAATTAATGAAATGAGAAAAAATGAATTTATAATTAAAAAAAAAAAAAAAAAAAAAAAAATCAATTGAAGTCGGAATATTTTTATGCAAAACGATGAAACATCACAATAACAATAAGATCCAAATGCTTGAATAAACTACGGCTCAAAAAACAGGTGAGTAAAAAAACTATATATGTATACCGTTTTTTATTTATAATTGATTAATTAATAAATTAATTGATTGATTTAAAAAATAATACAAATAATGTATTATATTATTAATTAAGATATATAAAAAAAAATCTAAAGCTCTCCGGTACTATTTTACAAATAGTGCAATACTGAATAAAAAAAAAAAAAAACCAGAAATTCGTCAGTCTGTCTACAAAAGTATAAAATATATTACAACAATATAAATAAATATACATAGAAAAAATACAAATGCGTTTATTATAATTATCATAATTATTTGTGAATTTAGGCACTGGTAAAGATCAAATTTCATGTAAGAATAAAAAGTGAAAAAATATTTTTGCGAACTATGCCGCTGAAATTTTTTTAAGTTTGAATTTTATTTTTAAAAATAAATTTTATTTTTTAATGTTAGAATATTTTTTATTAATATTTTATTGTTCTCTTCTTAGGGTAAAAAATTGTTACGGGTCAACTTACTGGAACAAAATGGAATAATGTATTTACAATCACATGACTGATTAATGAATTTTCAATTTCATTGCTACTGAAGAATTTTTACATTCTTACAAAGGTAAACAAATTTATTTATTGTAAAATAAAAGTGTTATTTATTATTAACCAATATGACAATTTTATAAATTTTTAATATAATTGATAAAAAAAAATATTTATATAACTTCAAATTATTAATGAAAAATAATTTTATGGCTTGATTAATAAAATAAATTATGGCAATCTTAATAACTATTAAATGACTTGATACAAATTATCAGTGAGGTAATTACAAATGGCTTAAAAAAATGTACGAGAGATCGAAAAAATAGTTTAATTATAAACAAAATTGTAAAAATTATTTTATCTAGTAATTTTTTTTTTTTTTTTTGATATTCAAAAACCTCCAAATGCATATAAAGTAACTTAAATTTAATAAGTTTAATTATTACTTTTAACATTTGTAAAAGTGAGCATGTTTGGTAACCACAAAGTACCTTAGCTTTGATAAAATAATATTAATAATAATAATAATCATCAATAAAAGCAAACGACTAGTTGATTAATAAAATTTTTTTAAGTACTTGCTCGTCGTTTCTGCTGATCACTTGACAGTAACATCAATTGTATATAACTATGTCCTTCTCGTAAATTAATGAGCCTAAAAATTTTTTTTTATTTTACTTTTAATCAATTTAATTGTAATTGGATGGTAACAAACAATGAAAATTAATCTAGCAGATATTTGTTAATTTTTTTAACAAATAAATTATGGCAAAAAAAATTGACATTTAGAAATTTTTAAAAATTGAAAATGCAATTTTTTAAAAATAAGTTTGTTTGGTAAAAAAATTAACAAGTAATTATTTTTTAACTCCAATTTAAAAATAATTATTTTTAGAAAAAAATTTACATTTTTTAATTTTTTTTATTCTGTTTGTTTTTATGGCGTATTTATGATAAAAAATGTTGTAAAAGGAAAAAAAAAATTTTGATAGCTTTTTTTACTTTTAAAAGTTAGAAAAAAATTTTGGCTTTCATTTTTTTTGGATAAAATTTCTATTTTATCTTTTTTTTTTTTAAAGTACATAAAAAAAAAAATTTAATATCACAATTTTCTAAAAAATTTGTAAATTTTTTTTAAAATTTTTTAAAATTGTGATAATCAATTTTTTTTTTAAATTGTTCATTGTTTTATGTATTTTTAAAAAAAAAAAATATATATATCAATAAAATCAAATAGAAATTCCTTTTAAAAAAATGAAAATTAAACTGGTGGACCCCAGTTGTAAATAATTACCAAAAATTTGACCATTATTTTTTGAAAAATTACCATCCAACTAGTAAATAAATAATATTAATTTAATTGTATTATACGATATATATACTAATACCTGTCACGTTCTTGTTGTTGTATATGCAGTCTATCACCACGCCGTAAAGGAAGAATAACGCTGGTATAACAAGATGCTTCAGTTGCTGTAACTGCTGATACTGTCGCACATTTTATTATTTTCCTTGTCAATGATGTGCCTTCAGAAGTTAGTAATATCCAATATGAATAATGTGATGGCTCGCCGTAATAATAAATCTGTTTAAAAAAAAAAAAATATTTAATCTAGTGTTAATTATTGATCATTATTTATTTTTTTAAATATATTAAAATTTTAACTTTCAGCTTGAAGGCATAAAAATAATATTTAGAATTTTTTTGAATTATTAAAAATTTTTTTTTGAAGTTTATCAAAAATAAAAAAAATATTTTACTGACAAAATTTTTTTTTAACATTAAACGCTTTAAAAGTTTAAAAATTGTAACCGTACAAATTTTCATGATTATTATTATGAATTTGGAGCAAATTCGAATAATAAAAAAAAAAAATATCAAATTATTAAGATTTAATAATTAAAAAATACTTTTGTAATTTTCTTTAATTAAATTTTTTATAACTTAACAATATTTTGATTGCAACAAAAATAATTTCAAATTAATATACTTATAATTTTTTGGAGCTTATAAAGATTACCAAATTTATGAGGTAATCTTCAAGGCTAAAAAATTAAAAAATTTTCATCAACAAGTTGAGTTAGAATATCATACAAATAAAATTATTAACATAACTTGTTTTAATAAATAAGAATTTATTAATTTTATTCTACTCAAAAAATTTAATTTTATAAATTAAGTAATAAAGCCACAAAGATCAAAATAATTAAAAGAAAACATTTAAGCTATCAGTTAATTCGTAATTAGTAATCTAATCCAACGTAGTTGATACTCATTATCAACAACTTAGAGATTAATCATCATATAAATACAATTTTTTCATTCTTACTAATTATACAAACAAAGCGTTATCTCACGCTCATTTTATAAACAAAAATTCAATAACAAATAACAGCCTTTATTTTCTCTAAAATGGACTATCAGAAATTTTCTAAATAAAAAAACTTTTACTACGCATTTAGGTAATTAAAAAAATTAAATTTCAAGCTAGCTTTTTTTTATTAAATAATTAAATTAAAAAAATAATTATTTCATGAATTTTTAATAAAAAATCAATTACCTGAGCTGAAATCATAAATAATCCATTAACTGTGACTTCAATAGACCGTTTATCTTCAACCAAATGAAATTTGTTAAATCCATAACGCGATTCATTCCGCTTAACCCAAGGGCCAATGTAAACTGAGACATAAAAATGAAAATTATAATTAATTATCAACTTAGAAAATAAATATAAACAGAATTAATTATCTATATAATTTAGAGAATAAAAAAAATTTTGTCCTTGGCGAATTTATATAATAAAAAGAGTTTTTTAAATTAAATTTAATATCATTAGAAAGATCGAGACCTGAATTTGTATCTTTTCAATTTTTTATATGCTTTTCTAAAATAGTTAATTTATTATAATAAGTTTTTGAAGTAGTTATAAAAATGTGGTTATAAGTCAAAAATTAATTTATATAATTAAGAGACTAAGAAAAAATTTTCAACGGGTATATCTTTATTGTAAATTAGTTTTGATATTTATTTAGCGGTGGTCATTTATGATTTAAATAATTGAGAGAACAAGGAAAATTTTTTGATGAGGATATTATGATTTTTAAAGGAATTTTTATGGTTTAATTTGGTATCATCAGAAAGGTCTTGATAAGAATTAATGACTTTTGGTTTTATATATTTTTTAGTAAATTTTTTATGTCAAGTTTTTGGAGGAGTTTTTAATAGTTTGTTGGTTCTATAAATTTATTCCGTCACATTTGTCGATTAAATTATTTGTAATTGATCCTGTGATAGCACTATTATTTTTTAAATTTATTTAAAAAGTACCCAAACTATGTATAGTGTCATAAATATCAAAAAATTGTTAAGCCAAAATTTTCTTATTCATAATCCGTGAATCTCTGCAGTCACAAAGTGACTGCAGATTGCTAGTAATTTTTTATAAAATAAATACCTGTATCAGTAACGTGTTGCTCAGGTACAGCACCAACGAATGTTGCCACCAGTGGTCCTAATTGAAGTTAACATTGGTTAATAATTATATGAAAGTACAATTAGTATTACTGATGAATAAACGAAATGGCAAGCAGTGAATTAGTAAAATAATAATTAAAAAAAGAAAAATTGAGTGGATTATTTTAATTTAATTTCGTTAAAACAACTAAGGATAGTCTACGCATAAAAAGCGAAAAATAAAATTCGCTTGGCATGGATTAAAATCAAAATCGGGCATACTAATACAACAATAATGGTCCACGTGTACCCAATCGCCTGCGACTGCGTTTTAGCCTCCTTTTGAACTTTCTTCGCTGTTTACCTCGTCCGTCATCCCTACGGGATCTTCCTGCACGTGAATCACTCCATAAATCCGTATCATTTTGATTTTTATCAATAATCATTGGCATTTTATCAGTCCCATTGTATTCATTTAACATTTCTATTGATCTTACGAATCTTTGTTTTGTTATATTATCATTTTCATCATCATCAATTTTATTATTATCTGCAATTGTATTTGTACTTGGTAATTCTTTAATATTTATTGATTTTTGTCGTATTATTGGAGTTGTATACTGTCGTAAATTAATGTTGTTAATATTTCTATTCAATCTTTCGTATTTTAATGTCAGTATCGCAAAATTTCTGCTCATGGAATTTATCTGTAATCAAATGAATAAAGAGTTTTATATTTATTTGATAATAAATTAATTTTTTCATCATTTTTATTTTATGAATCATAATAAAAAATTATGAATTAATTTTTTTAACAAATAAATTAAAATTTACAAGTTATAAAAAATTTTTTTAATTAATATTTTTTTTTGTAAATGACTCACAAAAAATTTTTACTTGAATTATATTTTAATGAAAAATAAAATTTTTTATTTTTTATAATCTAATTATTAGAGAATAAAAATCTTATAAATTTTATGAAAATTATTATTTAATAATTACAATCTTTTTATGATACTAAAATTAGCCGACGTATAACAATTTTTGGTTTTTTTTTTTTATTAATTAAATTATAAGTAAAAAAAAATTAGCACGGATAATTTTTCAAAACTTTTAGGTGTAAAATTTTTTCTTTTAATTTTTTTATAATAATTTTTTCATTAAAAATTTTCAGATGTCAGCTAATTTAATTTCACTAAAACAAAAAATACTAGACATGATAATTTTTCGTTTTTCTATAGAGCTAACTTTTAATTAATTATTTATTTTAAAATTAAATTTTTCAATTTTAAAATGACTAAAAAATATGTAAAAAAAATTACTTTGAAAATTACATCATAAATTATGTTTAAAAAACAAAGAAAATTGTATTTTTTGTCTAGTAAAATTTTTCATAAATATTTAAATATTTTTATTGTTAATTTCTTATTATAAAAAAATGAAAAATTACTTTTTACTAATTAAAATTAAAATTATTAATTTATAAATAATCTATATTCGAAAATGCTCTACCTCTAGACACATAATTAAGAAATGATCTTTTATCTTGTGAAATATTGACATTTTTAAAGATATAAGCTCATATTGGTGTTACACTCATCAAGACCTTTCATTTGAGTACCCACATTAATTTTTCATATATTCATATATATTATATATATGTATATATGAAAAATATATCAAAAATGCATGTGGGTACTCAAATGAAAACTCTTGATGA